GGAGAGGGGAGAGGCGGGGAAGCACTCATCAACAAAAACCTAAATAGACCATTAATATTTGGGGGGGGGGCAATTTTTATTTCTTTTTTCAAGCCAACTGATGATTGTTTCTGTTTACGGGAGGGGGTAAGTACCCCTTTCCAACCTTGAAAAAACCCATGTCATCTCCTCAGAGCAGCCTTGTCAAGGTCACAACACTGTTCCTCCTCTCCAAAAAAAAAAATGTTTCAAACCCCATCAAATCTAGAAACTGACCATCGTCACAGTCGACAGGCCCCTGGGTTGGGTCAGCACAGTATTTTCCCTCAGGACACTGCTGGCAGGCGGTGCCACTGGTGTCGTCGTTGTACCAGCCTAACTGACACGCAATAGGTTCTGCATCTTGGGCAGTGCAGCTGTAACCTGCAAAATGCATGATCCGTAACAAAAGCATGGATTATTTAAGTCTTCAGTTGACTTGGTCTCACAAAATGAGCTGTAAGCACTTTTTGGTAATATCCTGTGTTTAGTTTGAGCAGATCCAAGAAAGGGTACAAGTGTTTAACCAATGATAGCTCCTACAAAGGACCACAAATGATCATGAAATGTCACTATCACGTCGGCACCAAAAGATGGGTTTTAATTGAACACGCCCCACCAACATGGTTCTTTTCAACCAACGCCAGGGTGCTTCGAGTCAAGGCAGACATTTTGGAGGAGCTAACTGAGCTTGTTGTTTTGATGAATTACTCAGTTTCACATCGTAAAGAAAAAGAAAGACTCTGTCTGATTTGCACTGCACAAGATTCTTTTCAAGACCCTGGAGTTGGCCTCAAAGTGGTTCTGGCAACTTGGGACGCATTTTGTAAGGTTACATCACGAGTGTTAACAGCGACTTTGGGAATCTAGCTGGAACGTGAATATTAACTGTATTCCAAATTCAGTTCCCATGGTTCTTATCCCAAAAGCCGACAAGGCAGACAAGGCCACGGCTTCGACCAAACAGCCACATATAAAATTACATGTACCTGCTGTGCATGGCTCGCAGGCCATAGAACGAGCCAGCGAATAGGTCCCCGGGTCGCAAGCTGTTTTTGAGGATTTTGTGTCGCACTTATATCCCGCCGGGCAATCCTGGCAAACCGTCTGGCCAGCTGACTCAACGTATTTTCCATCCTCACACTCCAGTTGCTGTGAGGCACCGACCGGGCAGTAATAACCAGCAGCACACTCAGTACAGACAGAACCTGCCAAACAAGTTACCGGTATTTTGAATAGGACACAGGTGGATGAGCGTGTGCTGTCTCTCTCCCACACGTTGTCACCTCCATCCTAGAGGGATGACTATTTGGAAACCATTGACTAATTTTTCCAGGTACCCAGGACACCTTTTGTTCTCAGGCAACCATGCAAAAATCAACAACTGGTGGACAAGTGGTGGTCATTTCAAACTTCTGTGTCACCTTCTTGCCACCTCTAAAACTAAACATTTCTTTATTGTCTTCTAAACCCATTATCATCCTGTAATCAGCGCTAATAACGTGCTGTTGAATGATCAGATATAAATAAATATGCACCGGTACGTACATGTATCATTAAAATTCAAAACAATAATTCCACCCTACGTTACGGTACTAAATTGGGAAGTTTTACTGTGTCATTTCTAACCCTATAATAAAATGTACATATTAAAAATTCAAAACAACAATTCCACCCTACGTTACGGTACTAAATTGGGAAGTTTTACTGTGTCATTTCTACCCTAAAAGAGCCGATGTCAAGAAAGTCTCCATCCCCCCACCCTTGAATCTTCTCTGATAGTGATATTCTGTCGTGGTGCCAAGTCTTCAGGACTTTTCAAGCTGGTGCGCTGTGGTTACTTTAACATACATGTATGAAGTCTGTGAAAATCGGACACATCAATTTTGCAAAAGTCACTGTTTCCCAAGAGTGACAGGCCAGAAATTGGCAAGTGCTCGTTACACTGGCCAACGCATGCAGAGCATGAACCGTAATGATAACACTTATCTTTCGCCAGGTTCACACAGGTATCTGACCCACATGTATACCCGAGACAAACACCGAACTGCAGGACCCACACATTGAAACATTTATAGAACCAGTCACGGCCAGGCTGGATAATTTCTTTCTCCTCCCTTCCAACTACTTACTTCCTTCTGCGCTGTACCATCCTCCGGAGCACTGCATGGCTGAGGTATTAGTGCAGCTGTAGCCGGCCGGGCACGTTGTGCATTCCGTGGCACCACCTGATGAGTAGGTATCTGAGGAGGGCATCAGATCAATAGAAGCGTTTATTTAATACCGGTAAGTCCATTACAGTGAGTTACCGGTTAGTCCATGACAGTGAGTT